TTAATTATTTCCCGGGCTACCGAATTTTGTGAATAATTATTTTCTTTGGTATGTTATTTTAGTAAGTTTTAATAAAATACCTGACCGACTTTGAATATTATAGGTTAATATTAAGGGGAGATATAGGCCCATATATGTATGCAATATATAAAAAACAATTTATCCATTATTGAGGATATGTTACGTCAGCAACGTAGTCGGTGCGAGCTGGGAGCGCGAGTCATATCGGCTAGCCATTGCTGGGCTACATCAGCTAACTCGAGACACGTTATTGGGAGACGAGCGTTCCATCCCCTGAGCCACCACGACACACATTAATTGAAATTAAAAACATAAGCAACGAACTAAAGAGCAAAGTTAATGGAAAAAAAGTACTTATTCGTTCAACGTACTACTGGTATTATAGTGATAAGTGCTGTTTTAGTTATAATTCTACAAAATATTTTTATAGTTTTATTCAATACATTTCCGGTGTCAGGGCCCACGCTAAGGATTTCAAATGGTTAGCCACTAATTTAGCCAAATATCAAAAGTATTCGCCAAAGGCAATTTTCGAATTTTCGCCAATTTTCGAAAGTCTTCCCAAAGGCAAATTTTAACAATTTTTTATCGTTAATTTTTTTCCCATAGAAAACTATTTTACGATAGTTCGTTTCAGGCTTAGATTATTTGGATCCAATTCTAATTGGTAAAGCGGCGCATCTACCGCAAATTACTATTATCGAATAAAAAATACTGATTTGTTTAGAAAAATTAATTTTAGCGTAATTTTGAGGATCGAGGTTAAATATATATTTTACTTTCCAGGGGAAAAATTCATTCGCCAATACTTTAGCCAAAACACAATCTTATTCGTCATATTTAAGATTTTATCTCATTTGGCAAGGTGGCGAATGCTTAGCGTGGACCCAGAATGGCACCAAAGATGATGCATTAATATTTTAATGATTTAGAATTAAAATATTCTTTTTTGCCCCACCACTATACTTATAAATGTTTTAAATAGTATATTAAAATTCAGAAAAGACCATGCTTTAAACTTCCTAACAAGGTTAAATAAGAATTTTGCTTGATTTTAAAATCAATTTTGCTACCGCTGATTTCACAAAATATGTTGCAGTGTATGCGTTAGGTATACTAATATAGGTGCAAAGTATTATTGCGATATATTTTCGGCACAAATACTGAGTATTTTAGGAAATAAGTGTCTTACAGCCCATGGATAACTACTTGATTGTGTTAAATTTCGACTCAGGGGATAGAGCTTTCGCTTTCCAAATGAGGTTATCTGAAACTTCTGCCCTATTCAAGAAAATAAATATCCCAATTGCTCCATTTATGGGAAAGAAGGTAGGTAGGTAGATCTTTTATTTACGTCGCACTAGAGTTGAACAATGGGTTATTTTATTTTATTTTTATTTATATTTTTATTTATATTTGAAGACGACCCAATCTAATGGGTCTACGACTATTAATGTTCAATTCCGTAGCCTTGTAATTTTGAAGCCTTCATGGAAGACTTTTTGATGGAGCTAACCCGCATTTGCGTTACATGGAAAGGAAGACCACGAGAACCTCCCACAGTTAGCCTGACAAGGAGACTCTAACCCATGATCCGTCTACCACTACGGATATTTTACATCAGCACTGCGGTCGGTGCAAGCCGGATGCGGAATTCGTATCGACTGGGATTCGAACCCGATTCGCCTCATTGGAAGGCGAACGCTCTATTCCCTGAGCCATCGCGGCTCAAAACGGGTTATTGGTGACTGTCTGGGAAACATCCCTGAGCATGATCCGAGGACATGACATCACAATTTTGATCCTCTGCAGAGGGGATGACTCCTCCGCTTTGGTAGCCCGACGACCTGCGAGCTAAGTCGAGCACTTTACCGTAGAACAGTTTAATGAGGACAGATATAGCGCACCCTCAATCTTTACGTAGGCTGATCAAAGTAGCCACCCACCAGACACTGACCACAGCCATTGTTGCTTGACCTCGACGTTCTACTGGGAAGCGCGTTTTTACGACCAGTCCACTGCGGAACTTATGAGAAAGGAAGAGAAAGGGACTATTTTCGCAAATTTCTTTCTTTTTTATGCATAGCGAAAACAGTGTGCGGTATCAGAAATGTCTAACATTACACTAAGTCATTCGGCAAATATATAAATCATGTGAATTTTTTCTGATACATTATGTTTTCTTATAAAACTAGAAGAGACGTGGTGGCTCAGGGGATAGAGCGATCTCTTTCCAACGAAGTGACCCGAGTTCGAATCCCAGCAATTGATGATCGATGCGAATTCCGCACCCGGCTCGCACTGACCACAGTGTTGACGTAAAATATCTTCAGTGATAGATGGATCATGGGTTAGAGTTCCCTTGCCGTTAGGCTAACCGTGGGAGGTCTTCGTGGTTTTCCTCTCCATGTAACGCAAATGCTGGTTAGTTCCATCAAAAAGTCCTCCACGAAGGCAAGTTTCTCCCAATACTCGATCCAGAAGTTCCCTTGTCTTTTGCATTGGGTTCAAAATTACAAGGCTACGGAGTTAAACATTGGTAGTCGTAAACCCTAAATTGGATCTGCTGTTCAACGACGGTTATAATTATAATATAAAACTGGGATGTTACCTTCGTAACATCCCAGTTTTGCAACCTCTGTGATTGCACCTGTTCTTTTTTTCATATAAGGCGATTTTTTCCACATTCCTTAAAATCTTTAAATATACTAATATTTGTGACAGAATAGACGTTTGAAATGATAATGATAAATAGGAATACAGAATGTGTGACAGATGTATTTTTACTTTTTAACAAGACATTATTACAGTGCAAAAAGGTTTTTTTTTTATCTCCATTAAATTTAATTTTTTACATTTTTTGACATTTAAACATAAATATTAAGATTTATATCTAGCAACGTTAGATATCTATCAGCGTTTTCTTTTTTTATTACTTTTGTGATCAAGTCAAGCGTGAGCTTATAAAAAAAAATAATATTTCGAGCGAAATAAATGATTTTTTCTAAAACAATCGATAAATAGATATCATTTAAAGCTTAAAAAAGTTAGAAAAATTCGTAAAAAAGATCATTTAAAAGTTAAATAAATATAGGGAAAATTAGAATTTTAAAAAAAATAGTGTTAAGTTCTCAAATAATTTTAGCTTGACAAATTTCATCATGTTCGCAATCAGTTTCTGTATTTCTGCGGATTACAGAGTTTTCTACAAGTTTCATAGTTAATAATTATCGAATTAATTATCAGATACTTTTTTATTCCATCCCTGTACATTTTTATTGTATTTTAAGTTTCTAATTTTATTTTTTTTAAAACTGCTGAACGTAAAGTAACGTAATAAAACGTATAGTTGATCACCCAAAACAGTAGTGGCGATGAAAATACAACACCTACAACTAAAAATTTATTTTCGGTACTTTAAAGTGCCTCAGGTTTGAATCCCGGAGATGATTAGTAGAATGGAAATTTTGTTCCCGGTTATTATCAACGACAGGGGGGGGTGTAAAATCAATGGTAGATGGCTCATGGAATATGATCCCCTTGCTGTCGGGCTAATCGTATAAGGTTTTTATGATTCTCTATGTAATGCAAAAGCAGGTTAGTTCCATAGTATGTTCCAATACATGCACCCATTGATGTTTTCCTAATATGGATGTAAAAAAGGAAGGCTATAGAATCAAACAAACTCATAATATAACCACTAGATTGCGCTACAATGTAATAGTTCGACATCCAACATCAAGAAAATAGAAAAGCGCTCTTCAAAAAATTGTAGCGTAAAGTTAAAACAGGGTCTAAATTTTGCTTGTAACGATCTAAAAACGGTTGAAATCTGTACTTTGAAGAAAAATATCCTTAGTGGTAAGCGGATCATGGGTGAGAGTCCCCCTTCTATCAGGCTAACCGCAAGAGGTTTTCCACTCCAGGTAACGCACATTTCGGGTTAGTTCCTTCAGAAAGTCCTCCACGAAGGCAAATATCTACCAATACTTGATCCACGATTTAACTTTTCGCCCATAATATATGCTTGTTTCGGACAAAAAGCAATTTACAATTTAAACTTGTGAATTGCTTGTGTAATTCAACATAAAACTTCAGTAGAAATTTTTTTAAAAATTAAGTGCTCTTGCTAATTTTAAATTGTTTAAAATTTGTTTCCAGTTGCAAAAACTGGTCTTGTTATTCAGCATAGTTAAAATTTGAGTTCAATTCAAATGCAATAAGCAATTTCAATCAAAACTTTGTCATCAGCAGAAATTTAAATGCTTTAGCACGACGAAAAGTGGCGATTGAATAACGAGGCGATTGAATAAAAGCCTCGTAATAAAAAAAAATATTCGGTGATTTTTAATAACATAAAAATAAAGTCGCCTTTTTAGGGACAAGCATTTGTCAAATCAAAAGAACCTAAATAAAGGGGAAAAAAGTCATAATTAGTTGTAAAATGATGAAATTAAATTTCTTTTTACAAGCATGACACTGTAACCCAGAGGTTGGATTGAACTGTCTTGGATGAATTTGATTTTATAAATTTCAGTTTAAAATAAATGAATTGGAGTTCCATGGTAGAAACTGACCACAAATTTTATCTAGTGGCACCTAATATTTTCCTTACGAATCGTTGTTTCTTTCTTTTTCTTTCCTCAGTGTTATATAATAGGCAAACAATGTTTCTCACAGAATTTGAAATCAGCAAAGTAGTTCAACGAATAAACAATGTAGAATCTTTTCTTATAAATTTTGGAGTCCACAAACGATGTTAGTACACTTAAAAATTTTATAAGTTATATTATTCTTTAATTTTACAAAAATTCATTAAGCTTAATAAGTATTAATGAAATAAAATTTTATTTTCCTTTTTATCGTCATTTAAAAAAATAAATAAAAATCTATAACACTATTTGAATTGTGTTTACTAAAGATTTTTTTTAAACAAAACTAGAGTAAATATTTGCGAAAGTGTCAATGAGAATACTCACCAAACATTTTGAAGTAAAGTATTTATCAAAACATTTTCATTATCAGTAACAGCGGACAAAATCGAATTAACATCTTCAAGGAGAGAAACTCACAAAACCTTTCATTCATAACTCGTGCTTACGTTTGTAACCTCTCAACAAGATCACTGCTTCCCTTCTCACTGTTTCTGCATACAGCGCCATCTCGTGTGAAGATCTAGTCGATTTATTTGACTCGCCGTAATAGTTTTGTTCTTTTGGAATTCTAATCAATATCAATAGGAAATTTTCAGATCACTGACAAGATTATGTATGGCCGACAGCAATTTATGGATGTCACAGGGTGTATTTACACACTTTTTTCCAGTGCGAACTCCATTCCATTTGTTCGTCAAATAAATAAATCTTCTTTTAATTCTTTCTCATTAACAATTGTTGAAGTTGTTTTGAAGTCTTAATGTAGATAGCAACAACTCACAAAAGAATTTTTTTTTGATGACATAAACTAAATAACTGAAGCTATTTTATTAATGTAAGAAAGGACTTTAATGTACGTAATACGAAAGAAAAAACGTATGAAACATTGAAAACTTGGAACCAAAAAAATCGAATTTATATAATTATATATTTTGTCAAATCAAAAGAACCTAAA